TTACCCAATATTTTTTATTTTGCATTGCAGTGACACAGTAATTCTTTGATATTTTATACACTATTTAAAATAAATATACATACTGTGTCTGCATGTGAAGCCAGATAAATTCTCCATCACTTGATGCATTGTCTATGCACCCACGTCTTGTAGCAACTGCATAAACCAACGCCAAAGTTGCAAGTTTTTTTTTCTGTGGGCCGCCATGATTTATGTATATCATAGACAGATTGCGACTCGCAGCTATTTTCTTGTTTACGGCAAAGCCTATCCTCGCTGCAAAAGGTGCATCCGACATGATAAACAGCGTGTGCATTCGTGACGGGCGCTGTCAAAACGTACTCGTCCATTCTAACAGGCTCGTTTATCTAGGTGTGTGTGTGGGACGGCGCCGATAAAAACATGATGTATAGAATCGAAAACGCGCGCCGGGCGCAACTATCAATTTTCCCGTCTCGGCCGTGGCGTCTCGTCGCGAAATAAATGTGTAAATTATATTTCGCCCGACGTTGGTGGCAGCGCGCTGCGCGCTCGGATACTTTAAATTCCGCGGCGTTGGCGTAAGCCCGCCGAGGATTTCGTTTCTATATTCCCGCCGGCGGAATAGTTGCGCTCGTGCGGCAGGAGTCGGCAAAGTATATCATTATAATGCGAAATAGTGCGCGAGGCGGCGCCCGTATTCGGAAAGCTGGGGATTAATCACACGTGCGCGCGAGTGTGTCAGTCGGAGGTTGGCCGGATTGGCGGGGATTAAATTAAACTTTCCTGCAAACTGCCGCGAAACTGGAGCAAACGCATGCTTAATGCGACTTTGAACTACAAATTACAACAAAACCACAAAAATAAACCCCACAACTTTCATGAAGCACTTCGTGGAACACCTTGTATACAAAACAAGCTTATTATATTAATGTGCTTCATTATAAACTACAATGATATACTTATGTGTGTTCCAAATAGTTCAACTCAATATCAAATTAGACCTGATTAAATGTCTCGACGACCGAATGCAATTAGACGACACTAAAGCTCCTTTCAGCGTACGCAGTCAGACATTGTGGTTCTATCGAATGACCGCTAATTGACGTATGATACATACATCAACAGCCAGACCTATTTCAATGGCAACTATCAACAGTAAATTGAGTAATTTATGTAAATATGATTTTTTTGAGTTTATGGTTAGATTTTTGGCATTTTATCGGGGGCGGTTGGGAGTTGGGCCGGTTGAAAATCGACTCGTCGCCGCGCGCGAAGATTTCCGAGTTGGCGAGTCGCGCCGGATCGTTCGCGAACCGCCGCCGACACGCCGGGGGTGGCAAAGCTCATGCGGAAGAGCGAGAGCTTTCGGGCCGGGGGCGGCGGCGGGCGAGGCGTGCGGTCTGCAGGATCAATACAAGGACGGCGCGCTCACGCCAGCCGACGACGTGCATAGTGCCTCCAAAACGTTTACACTCGTTTTCCAAATTGCAAAATAGGCCAAACAAAATTTTTTGTGTTTTTTTTTTGGCATTTTCACATGAAACTGTACAAAATTCGCATGATTTTCCTAAAATATCATGAAAATATTTACTATTAAAGTTAATTTATTGTATAAATCATGATATTATGTTTAGGAAAATCATTTTTTGATAAATTTGCGACTGTAACTCCTGTAACTCTGACAGTTTTGGTTGAAAATTGATAAATCCAGTCTGTGTTTGAAGCCATTTAAATGATCGAGCCCCCCTCATATGAGATTCCGTCACATGCGCGGCCTCGTCGTTCTCATCCGCATGGTTGCAGCTTCAGCCGCGTTTTGTCTTCATCTCTGCGCTCTCGCCGCCGCCGCTGCTGCGGTCGTCATGGCTGCGTCCGTCCGTCGGCAACACTTGTCCTATCTGTTGAACGCATTAACGCCGTTAGTTATGCACGTCCATGAATAATTTACACTTGACGAGCGCACCAGCCAGCATGCCATCGCTTTGTATCCCTTCGATGGCGCGCTGCATTTGCACTTCGCCCCACATCGACGCATTAACCAGTTAATTTAATGCGCGGTGCTTTTTTCGTGCGGCGGCGATGCCGAAAAGAAATTACGCTCGGACGCGTGGCGTTAATTCGATGTAAATAAGCTGATGAACGCGATGCCTCCGAGCGTTTCGGAGTGTTGTGGGTATGTGTGTGTGTATTGGAGGTTGGATGTTGGGGACCGAAGGGACATTACGGCTGTTTGGCCAAACACTGATGAAGGCATGATGCGCGTGTCTCCCGACGGCAATTTATCACCATCGGTGTCACCTACGCAAACGCCTCGCATCGCTCACAGCTCACCAAATAAATAACAACAATTTTCATCGCTTTGTGACAAAAATTCAAGCTAAATTTTCAGTAAAAACGAATTTAACTGGTATAATACAACACACAATCGATTATTGTTATTTTTCTCTTTTTGAGATGAGATTGATACCGATATATGCGCGCATATCAATATGTCAATTGCACATTTACCCTTACCCCTTTCAGTATGAGCAATACCGCATTTCAATTCCAATTCAATTGTAACCCCAACTCGTGCGGCGCGCAGCCTTTGGTGAGTGGGCGACCATACTCGTGACTGCGATAAGATCTAATCGCATGTCGTCGAAAGTAATCTCTACTTAAAGCCGTCACATTCATACTTCCTGCCGCAGCCATTGCACTCATACACAGGATCCTCCCATCGCCAGACGCAAACTTTTTCCGCTGCAACTCAAATAGAGTCAATTCAGGCATTCAAACACTTCAAACATCTCCCAGTATAAATAATTCACTCGAATTTATCCAGTTGATCAGGATTGAATCGAGCTTAGTGCGGGACAGATTCAATATTCATTCCTTGTAGGATCTCGTCTAGTTGTACTAGTTCAAGTCGTGATGGACCAGGGCACGTGCCGGGCAAAGTGGTGATTTCACTTCGATATCGTCGTTGGGCGTTGGGGTACTAAGTGCAACAACAATGAGATCAAATTAATTATCAAACCCCTTTTTGCCCTGCAAACCGAAACATGCCCCCAATGTCTGTATTGTCTTTCATTCATAGAATATCCTAGTGATTACATAGGCCCAACAACTTTAGACTAGAGAATGAATAAATTATTTGTTTCTGGAAAAGATTTTTTCCTTTTTGATATTTCTGGAAGATGGTTTTGGGTTTCTGGTACGCAACCACGAAATAGGCATTAACATTATTCCCGTCATCGCTCACCATCACCAGTGGGTTGCTGGTGGTGCTCGATTCTGTATTGCTCTAGCATTCGGTGGTACTTCCGCCGTCGCCGGTGAATAATTTAGCGGTCGAGCAGCTGCGCTTATCAGATTCGAGCATTTTTACGTAGTGACCTACATTCGCGCGCAACTGCGCTCCTCGCCAGAGGATCATATCGTGTACGTGCCGCCGCCTTCACTGCCGCCTTCGACTCGCGACGCCATCGTTCACTTATAACAGACATCAGTTTTGGTCACCGGAGACATATTTCACTCCGCGAGCAACCGGGGCATGTATCGACTTACCAAGTCAAGTCAACTCAAGTCAGAACCCTCACAGAACTAGGGAACTAGTCTATATTGTCTACAGGGCCATAAAAATATCAACTCTGTTATCATCATCATCATCATGTGTGGTGTGGTGGAATCTAGGAGGGTGAAAGTGTAGTCTATTTTTGAGTGGATCCTGATTCTGATTCGTCGTTGTCGACTGTGGTGGCAATCAGGCAATGTTGAATTTTGAATTCCCACGCGGGGCATTATGCCGCGCACCTCGTCATCGCTCATCGGGACTCTCTGGAGGCCCGGGGACAAGGCGGCGTAAGTGCGAAAGAAGCGTTTGTGAGTGGCGGCGACGGCGCGCGCGATTGCCTTATGGCACGCGCGGCGCTGTCACATCCCCGCGAGCATTGCCGCCTCCGCTGCCGCGCTGCCACCATCATCCGCGCGCTGACGTAATTCGCCGGAGCTCCCCAGGGTGCCCACATGATTGCCAGCGCGATGCTGTATGAATACAACTAACCATTTCTCGAGAAAAAATCCAAACCGAAAAATCCACAATTGAACAAGTTGAAAATAAGGTGTTAAAACGTGCTGCAAATCTTTAATCATAATAACTATTGTTTTCTACGAAATTGGTAATTTTCTAGTTTTCACTTAGTTTAACGTTTCGGGCTGGATTTTCATGATTTCTTTATTTCTCGCCCTCGTCGGTTTTGCGGTGATGCGTCCGGAAATAGATTTATTGCCTCGACTATTACTCGACGTCTTAACGGATTTATAGCTTTTAATAACTGACATGCGGTCGGGAAGAAAACTTTCTCGCCACTTTTCCACCTTGAAACACCCTCTCAACCCCTCCACACCACCCACTTCCCAAAAACACTCCACTGCGCATTACCACTTTTCTACCACTCTTATCATCCTCCATCATTAATAAAAATTAATATCATTTTTGTCATCATCGCTAAAAAAAAGTCCGCCTTTAGTTTTCTTGTTGTTCTTTTCGTTCTTCTGCTCTTATATTGCATTCGCGTGTAACTTGTTTACAAACTTAGTTACGGCAGGCTGGGGGATTCTGATTTGTAAAAATAAATTGGATGTGTTTTTTTCTTCGGTTCCCTCCGACGCAGATTTCAGGTAAAACTCTCCATCAAGTCGACGCTTTTCATTATGCACTTACAATATATGCAATTTAAAGTTTCCTTCCTTTCAGTTGCTCAGTTTCTCAGTCCTGCTTTTATTTTTTCTGTGCTATTTTTTGCTTTGCTTTGCGCTCCCTACTTTCTGCAGCGTTTGCATTTGCAGTGCGTCCGATGAATTTAAATTAAATCCGTAATTAATTAGGATTTTCTGTTTTTGAGCCACGCGATTTTTTTTATTTCAACGAGGCCTGAATTTGAATTGAATTCCCTCCTCTTTGGATTTGGCCGTATTTACCGGAATTGAGGCACGGATAAATGTTTAATGTTTTTTGCGTGTTTGTGTTGTTACAGGGAAGGGGCGGTTGTATCCCGCGTACAGTGTTAGCGGCTCGGAGGGTGAAGAGTCGCCGCGACGGTACGCGTCGTCGCATACCTACCAGCACCCGCTGTACCAGCAACCCGCCGGACTCAGCGACACCCCCTCGTCCGAGAACGCCTCGGACGCCACGCTCACTGACTCGGAGCTGGCCCTAGCACGCGATTCCACCCTTCTGGTTCATAACGGTGAGTGACTTTACACATTTCCATGCTTTGCCAGACGCGGCGACACCTTGCGACGGCAAAAAAAACCACGCCATCGTCCGAAAAAGCGGACAAAATGTAATTAAATGATAGATATCTTTATATTGCGCTCGGGTTTTGTGCCCTAGTAATTTTTTGCGTACGCGAAACAAGCGAAAGCTTGACGAGTCGGCTGTCAGGAGCCGACTTTAAAGAGACGTTTTATATTTGCGACGATGACTCGGCGTTTTTTCGACGGTTCTTGCCACTGACATCAAGCAAACCAGACGTGGGACAAGCAATCTTCTAAAAAAAATTCTACCTCAAGTTCTATTTTCTCTTTTTTTCGGATGGGGGTTATCAAGATATTCTACAAATTTCTGTTGTATTTTTTGAAATATTTTCCGAGCACAACTCTAAACTCTTGGATGTTTAATGTTGGATTCTCGGGATTCTAATTTCATATTCTGCGCCGCGCATAAATTACAGCTGGTGGCGGCGGTGGGGGCGGCACAAGCGGTTTTCTAAAGATCGTACCTTTCGTAGGGTGCTGGCTGTCGGAGAGGTGTGAGCCGAGCGGGGCGCGAAGCGACGTCTGACGCCGCCCGCCGGTAGCCGTCGGCGGTGGCGGCGAGAGGAAGGCAGTTTATCACAATTTCGGTTCGGCTTGAGTTGGGCCGCTTCGAGCCAAAATAATGCGTCGCTTTATTTTTCCACAAAAACGCGTTTTTATTCACGAGATTAGATTTCAAAACTTTGCCACAAAGAAAAAACGCAAATTAAAAAAGCTCCCAGCTTTATAGTGATGTTATGAGTATGAGTAATAGGCGTTATTCGCAATTCTGAAGTCCGTGGAAGATATTTTATTATTTTCTCGTCTTCCAAACCTGTTTCTAGACTTGGCAATTGCTCGTTTCTTCGCTTGCACATTATTATAATACATGTAATTTTCACCGCAACAATACTTCTCATACTGAAGAATACAACGCAACAACACGGCACGTAACAGAAAACAACAGAAATTGCGAAATGCAAATCCAAATTGCGCTCATTATCTCCCAAGCAATACACAATGATATAATAATAGAAACTCGTGCAACGTCCTTGATATTTACAGCGCAGTAAAAGTACCAACAACAAAACATTGCGTTAAATCAAAAGCTCAGACATAAATATGAATTAATAAGTCACTCATCTCAATTTCTAATTTTGATCAGAGTGTAAACAACGTGCAATAACAATATCTACTCTATGCAGTTTGCACGTGTGTTGTTTGGCTGCCGCTCGAAAGCTCAGGAAGCGGGAATGCGCGTCGAGCCAAACTCATTACTGTAATGAAACGATGATTCAAAGCGTAGACCCTATTAAGGATGCGTAATGACTCTGCGCGTTCCACTTACATCGCCACGTTGGTATTTCACTTGTTACAGATGCATCGCAAGACATAAACTGTCAACTGATTACAATTTTTATGGTTAATTGTTTAGAAAAAAGAAAATTCTGTAGTCAAGCGGCTTCTGCGCTTTACAACCCTCAGTGGACTCACTTTGTGCGTCAATAAAAACAGGAATGAGCACACGCGTGCACGTTCCGCTGGCAAAGTGCTAATAAAAAGCAAAGTGCACCTTGGTTCTTGGACCTTTTGGTAATTTGGCTATCTGCTATATCACTTTTTGTGTACCTTTTTTTTTTGTTCTACTCTACTTGGTCTGACTGATGATGGTCCACTCCGCTGGACAATGAGTGTTTTTATTATCTTCATAACACAAAGCTGAACTAAACCGGCCACTGCTGCCGCCTCTCCCGCAGGTCAGAGCTGATAAGGCACGTGTCAGTCCACGTGGCGATTATAAAAATAACTTCATAATCTCCTGAAATTTTTATTATTTTTTATGACAAAAGTTTCAATTCATTAAGCCTTCGCACATTTTTGTTTATCTCTCCTTTTGGTAATGACCGTACGTCACCCGTGCGGCTGGAGTGAGTTTATCCCGACATGGGTTAGACTCCATCCGGTTTCCGGTCATTCCTGTAATATATTTCTGAACTCCAGACATCCAAACCAAACAAGTTGAGTATTTATTTGCTTCTGTGGTCACCACGGCTGGAATTCGGATCGCCCGGTATTGGTGGTGGTCTTGGTCGGCCCATTATTAAATAATATTTATGGGGCAATTTAAAACGGGAAGATAAATGCGTGCGTGGGGGTGTTGTGCTCACATATGAAGATATTTATATTTTGGGGGGATGTCGCGAACAACAGACTAACAGAAACGAGCAGGGGCGGTCGGAAACAACACACGTGGATGAAGGTGCAAGGGGTAAAAGACCCCAGCAGCATATCTGCATATAAATAGAGATTTTGTGCATTCAAAATTAACTTTTTATTTCGATAAAAATCAACTGCTCGCTTTTTTTTATTAAGTTTATAGCCGGGTCATGGTTGGATTACCGTCATGACCTATCTTATTATTCCCGGGAGAGTAGAGATAGAGTGATCGTAAAACTTATATCATCAGTTTTATTTTGGAAAACGATGTTTCCCCACTTTTTGACCTGCGCCAGACCATAACCATATAGGTATCGGTAATTGGGTCAAATGTTCTTTTTGTGGGTAGCCCGCAATAAAGTAAAGCAGCACCTCGTGAATCCTCTCCGCTCTCACTGAAAAACGGATTTGCGCTTCCCCAGCTCACGGAAATAAAACTCAGCGCGCCGACGCGCCGAAAAAAACCACGCGCCATAAATTATTTCGCGTCAGGTTTGCATATTTTATTATCACATTATGCCGATCTATATGGGCAACGAGGTCTCTACCCTTTTCACTCGCAGCGCTGCCGACACTTTCAGGGGTGGATTTTGCCCAGAGAAACCGAGTGTAAGTGACGAAGCCATGCGCTTGGCGCTCGCCTGCCAAGTACAGAAATAATTCCTGCCTGCATGCAGAATTTTGGCAAGTTTGGTAAAATGAGAAGGGATCCAGGGTTTGGGGACAAAGTGGAAAGTACAAATTCTGACCGTTCGACAACGCGCGGGGGCGCCGAGAACGTAAATTAATAGAAATCAACTTAATTAACCTTTTCAATGCCCTGATAATGCAAGGTTCGAGTTGCGATGATTAACGGGAAACAGAGGGAAAAGTAAAAGGGCTCGCCAGGTATTGAAAACGAAGCATTACACCTTCATCAGTGAATACCCGAAACCTTTGCCTGGGTTGCCGAGCAGAATGGTGAATATGAGGCCAAAAGGCTTTTAACCTTTTCGGGAACGCCGCCGACTAAGGGTGGGAATAGAGGGAAGACGCGAGCGAAACACATAGACGTCATAACTTCCTTTCCAGACATTACCGGACTCGTAAATCAAACGCCATATTGCGGAAAGCAAAGGAAAGACGCCAACCAAGAAGCAGGTATTGACTTATTCCAGAATAATTTTTTATGGATAGCATAGGATTAATCTGGACTGGATAAAACAATATATAGTATTACATTTGATCCTTCAGTTCCTGCATCCGGGAGGACAACATATTGCGCATTGTGATCTGGCATTGTGCAGCTCATGATAGGGTATTATTGATGATCGTTATCGGAAAGCGTCTCCAGGGAGCGTTTGGCGTAAGTCACACGGCGTTGGCAGACATCCTATATCCTATTAGCGGGATGATCCCCGCCTGGTTCGACCGGCCCCGGCTTTTATCGAGCGCGCCGGCGAATATCGCATTAGCTCGGCCGGCGTCGGCCTAATGCGACTTGCCAACCTACCGACCAACACTAGCCGCGCGCCAACTATCAACCGAGTGTAGTTCACATGTGGGACTCCCAACGCCAATGTGGAGCACAACAGCCACTTAGTCCTTTAATTCCGCCACTGTCGTTATCTACATCAAGCAACCAGAGCGCAGGCAATCGAATTGAGCTCGACGCTCGACACGACATTCGGGAATATCCGGGAGCGGCTAATAAGATGCGACGCCAACTACAAATCTTGTTGCGTTTGCCAACACTGCATATAAATAATCAGGAGTTACTTCTAGCGTAATTACAAGGCACTAAATTCTATAGTTTGGTAAAGAAATTGAGGTTAAATTGGTTAAGTAAGTTGCGCATGCGCGTTAAACACTAGGGGCGGAGCAAATTTACACATTTCACCTCATAAACACTACAGAAAATAGCTTTTTGTTTATTTTGTTTACTTGCAACATCCTGTAGGATTGAAACCCATCGCAAACACATAACATAGACCGACAATAAAGATAGCGAATATATATTGCCAGATAGATCTCGTGCCAGGGCTGCGAGTTGCTTTTAATTGCCACATTTATTTAACCCAACTTAAGAGTTCATTAACTAACGCTCTTCAATAGTAGCTTCATCCCGCGGGGTAAAATTATTTACTCTTAAATTTAGATTCGTTGTTTTCTACTTGAAACATAAAAAAACTACTTCAACGGAAGATAATCATTCTCTTTCAGTGCATCCTCTCGTATTGAGAGGAAAGTCGATAAAGTATAATCAAAGCTGTTTGAGCCTAGACTTCGTCTCTTCGTATCCTTTGAAGAACTAAGTGCAGAAAAATAAAACGGTGCAAATTATAGCGCGATACAAGTTTTTAATAACAATGGAAAAGTTAATTTTAAAAGTTTTCATCAATTTGCATTCGTAACTAATTGTTTAAACGCGTCCCTTATCTGCACACCCTGCACACCTTTATTAGATGCCACCCTCGTTGTACCGGGTTTCGAAATCCGTTGCCCCATCGACATAAACTATAGTTATGTGCAAGACATGGATGTGGAGCTTCCCCTAGTCCTAGTTGATTCCACCCCGCCTGGCCCACGTCACTGGGAAGTTACACGCGCCGTTAGCCCGCGGACCTCCGCCGCCGCCGTACGTGCTGCCCATGCTAATGTTGCACCTTGCCGACATTGTTTCACCGAGATAGTGTAAAACTGTGTGTAGTTAACTGCGGTTGGGTTTTCCCACCTCTTCCAGCAAAACCCCGGC